CTGAACGAATTGTACAAGCTTCCATTCAGCTATGGGTAGTATCAATGCGTATTTACGTACATGCTGATGTGCACATACTGGTAATTTAAGAGGTCAACATAAAGCCTCATATGTCTGTCATACCATCAAGAGGCGGTTGATGCATAGGTACATGTATTTTTAATCCATAGTTATTTTGTATTAGTATGTTGTCAAATGAAGTATTTTTAAACACAACTCAACTGCTTGGGTGTGATACTTGAATTATAAATACATAATAATAATAATATACTAAATTATACCGGTACATGCCCTCACTTTTCCTTCTCTTGTGAATACCTTTAAGTTCTCCCGATGGCACACATGTTGGATTTACAGGCCTATGCATGTTTGTACAACATAAATGCACACATACAGATATATAAATTATATTAAACTGCAAATTCTGAATTTAGTGGTCTAAATAAAACTGGTACAAGATCAACAAATGATGCATTGTTTGGCCAGAGCAAGCTAGAATGAAATGTTCATTTTCTGATTATGCACTATGGCTTGGGCATACCAGTGACCATTTAACACACCATGTGAAATTGCAGGAGATTATGATGCACAGACTTGCAAAATGTACTGACTATTAAGCTTCTCCTTGGGCCCCAAAACAAGAGATTAATCTACCTGTACTTGCATTGAATGTAGATTTTTACTCAATTTATTTACTCGGGAATAACTGGGATCTCATGTATGAGCCTTTTTTGACTTTTCTTTTGTTTGTTGGTTTTTATTTTGGTTGCAGTTTTAGTCCAAATGTCAAAGAAAATTAATTAGTGATTGGGACTTATCTGGCTTTGTTGCAGCTCATTTTCTCTGTGTGATTTTTTTTTCCAATTCTCAGAGAAAGAAAAGAGCATTTACTGTTCAGAAATTTTTCTTTTTCAATGTCTTAGTGAGTCTAGTGAGATCACCTTACACCAAAATCAAAATTTAATTTTAATTAACTTTCAAAGTAAACACACATTTTCTGTAAAGAAAGTTACCGAAGACTCTTTTTCAAGAGCAAACCCTCTTACAGTTTTTAAGTTTGTCAGTCCTTCTAAACTAATGCTCTGGTCATAAGAAGGTAAAGTATATGTAGCTATTCCTAGAAACCTTGCTATGATGAGTGTTAATGACCGTGTGGGCTTGGTACATGTACATGTATATCATTACTGTGAATGCCTAGGAGGCTTGAGTCTACAAGACTCTGTCACTGGCATTTGACAAATCAAGTACCGATTTGCTCGAACACAAAGGTTTTATATAAAAGGCCACTGGCACTTGTCCACTAGTCAAGCAATGTTTCAGTCTCTTCATCAATGTCCATCCTTTTGTCCCTGCTCCCAAGCATTAATTAAGGAATCGAGCCTATTTCCCTCTTCCATGTACATTTCCACACGGGAGAAAAGAAATAACTCTTTTCTCAATTACCCATCTTTGCATCATTTACCGGTATCAACATCCAGCATTTTCCATTTTAAGATGACTGAATAAGACAGCTGATAGTATCAATTCTCCCTAAACAAGACGGTAAATTAATGAATTTGGCGATGATTTAATTCCTACAATAAAAGTTATCACAATAGGCTACAATGCATTTGCTGAGTCTGACTACTGATTAAATAAATTATATTAAGTGACTTCCATCATTAGCGGTTCTCATTAATCTTGCAATACAGTCTCGATCATTTAATGATGAAAAAATTGACAATTAATTCTTAACTCCTTCATCGCAAATGCATGTTTATGATTATAATGAATTTATGCTCTGTGGGGAAACACCAATATACTGTACATATACGTACATTGACTATGCTCAGTGTAGAATTCTGTTTACACGCAGCTTATGGGAGGGGGACACATTGTTGTAAATTACGCCTCAGAAATGCACAACACAAGCTAAATGTCTCCAAACTCATTCTCACGTCTACGTGTACATGTACATGAATACGGTTACATCTGGGAAATGATTGTCAGAGCAAAATGAGTCTCTGAGAGGGACTTGCTCATAAACAGTATGTTACATACATGTACAATGTACATGTACATGTATGTAACATGTACAATGTACATGTATGTACAGTAGAACAAGAACAGGTGCAGTGCCTGAACATGTGCATGTACTGTACACTGAACATATTGAATTCCCAATCAATGGAATTCTGCTAGGACAGTTTTGGGCAGCACTGTTACAGCTCCATGTACATACCATTCACTCAGCAAGGAAAGTGTACATGTGCATAAATTCCAACTCCAACAACTTCAGGCATGTCATCAGGTGTCAGAAGGTGAAATTACTCTGTGATTTTCCTGATAAACAGCTCCGAAGAAATGGCGAAGTCCCTCATGAGGGTGACATGTTCCACGCAGACAGGAGCAAGTACCATCCTAGGAATATAATTTGCACCTTATAACCAGCTGCACTATCACTATGCCACATGCATGTGTACATGTACAGTGCAGTGCAGTATTTCAGCATTGCTCCAGAAATAGCCAAGCTGTGCGTCTTAATACACAGGGTCCCCGTGGCAACTAGGTGGCCAGAACAATTGAGTGTCGCAAAATGATGAAGAACCAAACCTCCTCCGATCAATGGCAATTCTGCCCAACAGGTGTTAGCACTGATACCAACATCCTCTCTTGCTAAGCAACAAGCAAAGGGAATCACACTCAACGTGAAGTCCTATGACAAAGGCTCAAACCACACTACTCAAAATCTAAATGGTTATACTGACTGGTTGGCAGTACATGATATAGGCAAGCCAGTAGCAATAGTCCAAGATGACAACTCTAATCAGCAAGTGCTGTAACTCTCAACATCTTCTGTAGCCGTTAATGATTAACATAAACCCACACCCGAGCCAAGTCACAACATGGGATAAACATGACATGCTGTGGGCTGTGTTCCACTTCATCATTCTAATTTGACACGGATCTGGAAGACTGGTCCAACGAACGTGCTCTATTCTATGCAGTTCTATTCAATGCTGGATTGCAGGGTTGACTCTGGTAACCCAACAATGCGTTCCCAAATAAACCAATGTACAGCAATCACCCTCACACAGAAATGAATCCCCAAATATTTAGAAGCAGGCTATTTCATTTCAATTATCCTTGACAAGCTGGTGAATACAGCAACTCTAGAAAATGCAAACTTAACCTACTGCCCTGATATCTGTGCAATCATTTCATGATTTGGGTATCACACACATAAAAGTCCAAAGGTTCAGTTAAGACCTATTGTGCAATAAGTATGCTGTGCCAGTACATACCTGTATGTACATGGGAGCTATTTCACATGCATTACAAGCAACACAAACATACTTCCTTATTCTCATTTTTTTGATTGTGGTGAAATTACAGTACCAATCACACAACAATAGATACATGTACATTTCACACAATAGGCTTTCCATTTCTGCAATATCAAATGACACTGACCAAAAAAAGGGGGCATGTAAAGAATCCTAGCTGTGATAATAACGATGCTTATGCCGATTTTAGACTGTTTATAGGGAATGGTTGTATACTAGTTGTCATTCTATGTATGGACCATGCAGTTGCTGCTGGAGCAGGTATGGGGTTCCTTGGCTTTATTGCTTTTCTGCATGGGTTTGGGTTATTCGTGGCTGGGATTTATCTTTTACCTGTTTTTTTTTTTTGAATTGTTCGAATGGTCTATTTCGTGGACAGGCACTTGCAAAAATCTTCAATGGGCTTTTTTAACCTATTTTAATAATACACCTGTATGGTGTTTCTGATCCTTTCTTGTAAAGTCTTTTTCGTTTCATTTGTTTTTTGCAAATTTGTGGGGATGCAGTCAGAGAGCCTCTTGATAAGCCTTAATTTGGCTTTTAAGGCATTCCTGGGGGCCTGCATTTTAGACAGGTTTTATTTAAGTTTCTTGTCTTTGCTGTATACCGGTATATTTATATGATTCTGTGTGTGCAATCTCCATTTGTTGGTTTAATCTTATAATTTGTAATTTTTATAAATGTATGGTCATTTGTCCCTGTTTCTTGCCCAAAAAATTATCTAAATAAATAAATAATGTCAATCCACTTTATTGCAACCTGCAGGACGTTATATGTGTATCCTTCAGCCTCAGTGTGGCCAATGTGGATGGGGAAAATTCAAAGGTTTCTGCCTTCATTCCCTTATTTCATACAGTATCATCAAGCTCAAGTGCTTTTAAAAAACTACCTGTACACCATTGGTCTGCATGTTGGCATCTTAAAAACCGATTTACGTCATTAGGCAGAAGACGACCCCCTATCCTTTGATGGATTGTATAAAGGTTAGAAATATGCATATTTACAACAAATGCCATTGTTTGTTATTCAGTTGATTTTCTTTTTCTTATTTTTTTTCTAATTTGAGTTATTCGTTCACTCCATCCCTTGTAGTTATTATCGCAGACATTTATTTAGTGAAAAAGAAACAGGATTTTTGATGCAAACATGGATAATTTATTTCGTTTCTGATCTTGAAATACATAATAGCCCATTATTTAAATAATTAGAAACAGGTTCCAGATCTTGTATAAGCATTTCCTTTTTATCTGGAATCCTGATATCATTTCTGTTATTTTGATATTCAATTCATAGGATATGGAAATAAACTATAACCTCAGTTTCTTTAAATTCTTTGTACAGCTTTGGGCATACATACATTTACATGCAATCCTTAGGTCTGATGGGAAGGAAATATATACATGTATACAAATGGTTTTTATATCATGTAAGCAAGTTAAAATAAAAACAGGTGCCTGAATCTGACAAACTGCATTCTGAAGAATGGCTTTTGTAACTTATTCCAGTGTGTGTTAAAAAACTATAAACTGTCCATTTCGTTGATCACTCACTTTAGAATCCTGATGAAAGATGGACCATTAAGTGAGAGGAACATGTTGAGGTTTCCCACTTACATGGATGTACATTTGCCAATATAATTCTTTCAAAGGCCTTCAACTCCAAACAGGTTCTGGTGACTTGCAAGTCATTTTGTCAGGTTGAGTCACTTATTCCCCCCATAAATCAGTGTTCATAAATATTTATCTACATGTAAATGTACATTCGACATCCAAGTGAGGCATCCAATATGATCCATTTACCTGACCTAACCTTTTTGTCTTCTTACTCGTACACATCTCATACATTCATTTCTTTTTAAATACAGGAATAAATACATGTATGTGCTTGGCTATTCTTAAACGTGCATTTAAGAGCGGCACAGGAGAATGGATGCGGCCAGTGTTGTCTTCGAGTCCATCACAAGTCCTTTCACAAGTCCCTTCACAAATCCAGTCACAAGTCCCTTTACAAGGCCAGTCATAAGTAGCAAGGTGAACAATGACGAAAGGATGCTTTTGTCACATTTCACTTGAATAGTTTGTAAATTGGCTGAAGACTGAATGACTTGTGATGGATGGACTTACGGGGACTTACAGGGACTTGCAGGGACTTGTGATGGACTCGAATACAAAACTGGATGCAGCTCTGACATTATCAGCATTTGTTCTCCTAAGCAAGGTCTTAAATGTTAGTTTAAGACTGGCAAAGCACATATTTATTCCCATTCATATTACCTTTTATTCAGCAAGTCGAAAGCAGTCAACATATGATGGCTTTCCAATGATTTTGTTCTAAAACTTTACTTTTTGATATTCCCAATCACCCCCGTCCATTTTACGGTATATTCCTTTTGAAAGCTGTCTAATAGAATTACCTTCAATGAACTTGGCGCACATGGCACATCAGACTCGTGACCAATCAGACCTCCTATCCATGTGCCAGCGCGTGATTTATGCAGCAAGCATTATAAATTCTCATCGGGTATTATCGAATGCTAATACACGGTGACGTGATGCATTTCGACCAATAGGAATAGAAAAACTGTCCCACTTATCTATGAATTGTTTTGAACTGATGTGCAAAGTCACAAACCAAAAAGCACACTAACAAGAGATAATAATCTCTAGTGGGTGAACAAAATTTAAAATGACAGGTACCGCGGGCCGGTAGGGAGAAACACAATCCAGTGAAAGAATGAAAAGAGGACTTGAAAATGAATTTGATAAGGCACCGACAAACACCAATAATACAATGATTCAGGATAAGACGTACATGTAAATGTATTTTAATACATTCAACATAGTAAATGTCACTCATCCCCAAAAATAATCTGAATAAATCATGCACAGGTACTACATTATCTCTAAAACTGTTTATCAACGTCAATTTTAACTCCAACTGCCAGTACTGGTAACAAAATTAATTGACGTGAATTTTTACAAATGTTTACATAATCATAATAATTTTTTATCCAGCGAATGACAACCATATCAAAGAAAGAACAGACAAAATATGGACTTTGTAACATTGGCTCACAACAGGACCACACAAAGAAAACGGCATAAATGGGGTCATGCACATGAAATCTGAGTGGCAGCATCTAAACAGCTCAAAGCTTAACTATTAACTGAATGTAGGCGAGAAGGATTGTCTCTATTTTGCACCCCCCTCTTTCAAGAGTGGAAGAGGCAAACAGATCTTAGCATGCACTCATGTATTCCACCCACTGATGACCCACAGATTGCATAGTTCCTCACTGTCCACACAAGTGCCACTAGGAACTGCTTGATTCCTGAAGACTGACAGTGGGATCAAGAAGGAAAACCTGACACACTTACCAATGTCCTGCTCAACTTCTGAATCTTCCCTGCCAATGGTAGTTTCTCCCTCCTGTATAAATCAGAAAAAAACTCTTGTGAAAACTATCGATGTTTTCGGGAACAGTATGTGAAATGCACTCTCCAAGTCACCTCTTTGTACAGTGTACAAATGGACATAAAACCTACGCACCTTGGGGATGCAAACCAAGTGCAAGGTACTATTGAATAATACAGGGAAAGGCCAGTGTCAAGAAAGCCATCATCCAGCGCAAAGTTCCAATTCAACAGTCTCCCCTACCCTGACGGGAGTCAGGTTGGAGTAGTGTTTCTTTCCTCGCTTTCCACCTCTGGGAGCCTGGGTTCGAATCTGGCTTGGTCCACATGTGGATTGGGGTTTTTAGTCCCCGAGTCTGTGGGTTTTCCCCAAAACATTTATCCGAGGTTTTCCTCCCACAGCTCTCTAAAACTGAACATTTCTTCAACGTTTTTTCCCTCATTATAATCCTGTAATTGGCACTGAATGTGAAGTTGGACGAACAGATGCAAATAAATAAATCAAGCCCCATTTTCATCAATCAAGCCTCTTAGGGGCATGCACAAATAGCAAATTACAATCAGATCATATAGGATGATCATGATAGCAGTGCCATCCTTTCTTATCAGTTGAGGAAGTTCCAATGCTCTCCCACCCTCTTATAAATTAAGCCACACTCCTAAGGGGTATAAACCAAGCGCAACATACGGTACCATGAGCTAACACAAAAAGATGCCAGTACTGAGTAAGTCATCACCCACTCCTATCTGGAGAGGAAGTACTGATTCTACAATTATTCCCATACTCTCCCAACCCATCCACCTCCCCTCCTTATAAATCAACCCACACCCCTATGAGGAATACAACAGATACAACATACCATGAGATGATATAGGATGATACCAGTGCTGAGTAAGTCATCGTCCATTCCTATCAGATGGGGTAATTCCGATTCTACAATCACTCCCATACTTTCTCTCCGTATGCCAACATTGCACTCCTGAAAAAAATGCAACAATAAACATTTTAATGATATTAAAGCAAAAGTCGTGTAGTGTTACTCAGTGAGCAGAATTAGAAACCATTACCACAGA